AGTAATAGCTGACTGATACACGCTAGGGTAATGCACGGACAATTTAAATATACATACATAAATAAATAAGAACCAAAGCAGAAAGACAGGAAACAGCAGGTATTTATGGGAAAGGTAATAGATTATAGACTGTGTGTTTTTTTGTTTGTTTTGGGCGTTTTTGTTTTTTTTTCTGTTTTGTTTTGGTTTTTTTGCTTCTAATTAAAATCCTCAATGATGTCCCTTTGAAACTTTCTCCTTTTTACTAAGAATCTGGCTGTGATCTAAGGCATTTGATGGGCAATGGTATAATTTCACACGGTCTTGCCTTTGTATTCTGTGCTGTGGCATGTACCCTACCAGTGAGCTTTCCCTCCAAGCCTGTGATCTGCTTTCTGCCAGGATAATATCCTTTTATTCTACAGACTTTATGATTTGGCATCTGTGCTACAACATACATCATTCAGAGGTAAAGATAGTTCGTATTTTGGTATGCTATTTTATTGAAAAAGTTAATTCTCTTTCCAAAGGACCCATTTACCTTGCAAGAAATGGTTATCTGCTCCAATGTCGGTGATCTACATCAGAAGTCCTATTAAAAATTTTGTGAATAGGGTTATCTTTCATGCAATGGAACGCCTTTATACTAAAAAAAAAATTAGTAAGCCTGATACATAACATGGAGTCTAAACCCCTAGCCCTGATTTGGGATACAGATCATCTGAATTACTGCGACACCCAGTCTGCTTTCAGAGATGAATGGAAAGCATGCTTTGTTCTGTTTTGTTAACTTCTATTTCTGACTTTTTATCTCAGCTCTAGATCCCTATCTTAGTTACTTTTCTCATTGCTAAAAAAAATACCTAACACCTACAAGTTAAGGGAGGAAACGTTTATTTAGCTCAGTTTGTAGAGTTTTCAGTCCATAATTAGCTGGATCTAAGGCAGGATGATATGGCAGAAAGCCATCGTAGAAGGCAGAAGGTAACAAAGCAAGCAAGGGACGACCATAGCTCTTTCCATCCCTTATACTTTATCCAGGCTACTTAGGAGGAAGCACTCACACCCTCAATCCTAGCACCCTTGATCCTAGCACTGCACCATGAATCAATCCCATGGTCACACACTCTAGATCCAGCCACGTCTGAAAAAGCTCCACCTATGACCATATGAGGCTTCGGGGGGGATATCCAGACACAAGCCATAACATTCTGCCCCTAACCCTCCAAACACTCACGTATATCCCCTTACACAAAAGGCATTTAGTCCATCTCTGAGAGTTGCCAAAGTCCTAACATTTTCAGCACTGCTGAAAAGTCCAGGTCCAAAATGTCCTCTGAGATTTAAGGCAAACTTTTAGCTGCAAGCCCCCACACAAATGAAAAGCAAGTTAAACACTTCCAACATTAAATGGCACAAGATAAACATTTCCATTTCAAAAGGTACAAATAGGGGAATACAAAGGAACGGGTCCAAAGCAAGCAGCAAGGCAAACATTAAGTCCCATAGCTCCATGTCTAGCATCCAAGGCAATCAGTGGCAGGATGTGAGCTCTAAAGGGCTTTGGTGGCTCTGCCCCTATAGCACTTCCAGGAGTGCTGGTTCCCATGGCTTCTCTCCTGGGCCAGCTCTGATGCCTCCTTTCAGTCTTCCTCGGACGACTCACATTCCTGGCAACCCCAAACTTCTGGGGTCTCCACTGCACCCCCAGCTTCACACTGACAGCTTCACACACTGCTCGCTCAGGGGCACACTGCCTGGCCTCCGAGGCCTTCTTCTAAAGTCTGAGTGGAAGCCTTCCTGACCCCACAGCTCTTGCACTCTGCATGTGCCTCAAAGCACCACCATGTGGTTGATGCCAGGATCTGCTGCCAGCTGGAGTAGCAGCCAGGCTTCTTTCTCTCTTGGCTATAGAGGCTGAGTGTCTAGATCATTGAATACTCTATTACTCTGAACCTAGTCTCAAGGAACAAATTCTCTAGGCTGCCGCCATTCTGGAACATGGTGCTCTGGGGCTCTCTTCTCAAAGCAAAGTTTTTCACCTTTACAATTCTAAGGCTGCAAAGGCTGGAATCCTGCTGGTTCTATGATGCCGTCAGGCCATCTTTTCTGTTGTCTTGTTCTGAACTGCCTAGCTTTTCCTTGCTAGTCTTTTCAGTGACAATTTCTCCTCTGTTCCATCTCTGCAGGCCACAGTTTTACAGGAGCTTCCTTTCTGGCCAAACTCACATTGTGAATCATTCCACTGGGTTCTTTGCTTTTGACTCTCAACATAAATCTGGCTAAAAGCACCCCCAAAATAGCCATGCCATGGCCTCAACATAAGACTGCTTTGAAATTTCTTCTACCAGATTAATTTGTCCCCCACCCCTAATCTCAGTCTCAGGCAAAATCTCTGGACATGAGCAAAATGAAGGCAGACTTTCTGCCAAGCCGTAACACACATCATCTGGAATCCAACAGTGAATGCACTCCCTCCCAACAGAAACCTCTCAAGCCTGGTCTTTACTGGCAGGATCTCCATCAGCCTCTGGTCTTCTGAGCTCTGACCAGAATCTCTCATCAAGTACAGCCTAAGACATTCCAGCTCTGCTTTTGCAGCTGGCATCTCTAAACTCTTCTAAATCCTTCCCACACATTAGTCCAAAAGACTCCTGAATCCCATGGTCAGGTATACTCACAGCAACAACCCCACTTTTCTGGTACCAAATCCTGCCTTACTCTAGACACAAGCCATAACAACCCCCCATTTCCAACTACCTGGTGAATTTACTTGGAAACATACTAACAACTCAAACCCAACTTACCCAACATTTAGTTCACTACTTTACTCCTAAACCAGCCTCTCTTTATCTTTTGATCCCATAAATTACATTATCTTTGGAGGGCAAAACCTCCAAATCACCTTTTGCAGCAACCGCTCCTTACTCCTACCATCCAAGACAACAGACAACTGTCACTGTCTTGTTTCTCAGTCTTGAAACAAATGTGGCTCCACTACTACTTATCACGCTGCCTATCCTAACAGCCTGCTATACTAACCTTTTCTCCTAGAACTTCATCTTCAGCATCTCATTCCTCCCACCAGCGCCAAATAATCAGTCTAACACAAAAATGAGAACATGATACTCCCCTGATCAAAAACTTTTCAGTTTCCAACACTTATAAACTCCAGAAAACAGTTACATCCAGAATACAACAGTTATACCTGGAACACTCATTCATTTACTGAGCATCTACTATGTCTTCTGTTCCAGATTCAGGGGAAACAGAAGCTCTCACAAAGCTCACACTCTAGTTTATAAGAGAAGGTAATAAAAAACACTATAAGCAAATAATTTCTCAGCAGTAAATGCTGTGAAGAAAACAGTGTAAACTAAGGATAGAGACTAAATAAAAGACAATTTTTGTAACATAGAAGGCAAAGACTTCTCTGACATTTAATCCAAGACTTAAAGCTGAGAAGAAAATGAGAGCAAGAACATTTCAGGAAGAGAACAGCACACATCGAATCGCTCAGACCTTTTGTATTCTGAAAACACCTTCTTACCTCACAGCACCTGTGCTCCTTTTCCTTTGCTCTGAAACGTCTACTATGCATAAAAGCTCATCAGAGTCTATCTCCTGCACGAAGCCTTTCAATCTCCCCACTTTTTCTCACTCTCCCCATATTTCATTAATAAATCAAATATGTATTAGCTTTCTACCTCTATATTTGAAGCAAATATATCTAATTTCATATATCCAAATGTGTGGTGTCCCTGAAAGAAATTACTTTACAATCAGTACAAAAATTCAGCTCCTATAGGTAGGTACTATGCCAGGCTCCAAGGAAAGAAAAATAAGTCATTCTTTTTATGAGAGTCATTCTTTTTATGATAGTCATTCAAAATACGTCATTCACTTTTATTTTATGTATGTATATATGTATTTATTTATTTATTTAGTCTTTTTGAGACAGGGTCTCACTACACAGTTCAGGCTGGTCTTGATCTCCCTTTGTAGTCCAGGCTGGTTGCGAACTCGCAACAATCCTCCTGCCGAGTGCTGGGATTACAGCCCTGTGCCACCACGCCCAGTGTCATGCCCTTTTATGATACAATGCTTCTGAAATTTTTTCATATTGCTCTTTCGGCTAGGCACTGAGCAGTGTATCACAACCAGTCTCATTCTTTTATAAACAGTAATTTCCCTTCATTAAGAACAATTTTTCAGTAGATCAATATCTTTTTAAAAAAACTTAAATTCACTTCTAAATAATTTTTTGGCTATCCAAAAAAACATATGCATTTCTCAAAAGCAGATGACTGTCTCCACCAGTTCAGTCTGAAACAAACCAGAGTATGTATCATAGACTCTGACAACAATTAAAGGCATTTCTGACACATGTTAAGAGTGACGGCTGCATCAGTGCAACAAGCAGGTAACACACGAAGATTACTACTTTGCAGGGACAATACATATTTAAAAAGTGACTCACTGGGGCTGGGGATTTAGCTCAGCGGCAAAAGCGCCTGCCTGGCAAGCGTGAGGTCATGAGTTCGGTTCCCAGTACCGGGGAAAAACAAAACAAAACAAAACAAAACAAAAAAAAAAGTGACTCATTAAAGTGTCCCAGTAATTTATACACAATTGTCTTGTCATGCGAACTCTTTCATAAGCAACAAAATCAAATATAACCCAACATTTTTTTTCTTTTTTTTAGTACCGGGAACTGAACTCAGGACCTTGCACTTGCCAGGCAGACGCTGCACCGCTGAGCTACATCCCCAGCCCCTCAACTTTTAACAATTACTGCACTTCCTTCTCAGTGTTTTGCTACTGCTTACAGAAATTTCCATCCAACGTGATACTAACCAAAAGGAGCCTAATGTACAACTGCTGATGAATTAATACCTGTAAAATGGGATACAGTTACTTCTTTTTCTGTTATCTCACCATAGACCCTCATGAGAGTAGGAAAAATTGAGAACCTACGTGAGACTGAGAAGACTGCCACATTCTCCCCCACCCCAACTGACCTGGAGCTGTACTTCTTGAGGATGGTGTCCAAGAGGCCCACGAGCTCCTCAGCATTGATGAACTTCTGCGTACTGAGGGTGTACATCTTCTCATAGAAGTCTGCGATCTCCACGCGAGCCTGAACGAAGAAGCAGAGCTGCTCCGACAGGTGGGACAGGAGCTCTTCCACGTGAGGAGCGGTCCCACCCAGGGCTCCTCGGCCTGTCACCACCTTCTTCAGCTCGTTATGCAGGGACGTATAGATGGTGCGGATGGAATCCTTCCTGCTGAAGAACGACTGGCCCCCTGGTAGGTAAATGACATAAGCACAGGGCAGGTAAAGAAAAGCCTGAAGTCCCAACACCTCCCAGCAGCCAAAAGGAACGAACGGGAAGCCCAGAGCTCACTGGATCTCCGTTTGTCACGTCTCTGACCCTGACTGGGATACGAACACTTTAGGATTCACGATTTACGGACAAGTGACCTGAACAAATACTTGGAAAAGTCATGTAAGACTGTTTCACTCAGGCTGTAATTGCCCCCTACTCCACAGCAATAAGCATTCAGATTTATTTCGGAGCATAATTAATCTAGCAAATACAGCCAATTTGGATCTAAAAAGCTTTCTTTCACATAAATATATTTAGAACAAAACAAAGTATTCGCATCATAGAAACACTTCTGTTATTTCTGGTAAATCAGAATTTTTTGTTTCTACTTTAGAGTTGCATTTGCCTTTGAATCTTACCTTTTAGGCCATAACAGAAAACAAAGTACACACACACACACACACACACACACACACACACACACACGCTCCTCATATGCGAGTATACTGAGATCTCAGAGCAGAAAAAGGTCTTAGCACTCTCGACAAGACCAACACTATAAGGGATGACATAATAAGTACAAGACTCTGAATGACTAAGACCAGGAACCAACCAGAAGTAGCTGCTGCTGTGATTTAGAGGTTCCAAAAGAAATCAGCAAAAGGTAAGGCCAACTATCTTTTACAAAAGTTAAAAAGGGTCAAATAGCATAGATGTCATTTATTTCCACATTTATACATGATCAATTATATTTGTAATTAGAGCCAGCTTCATGGATGTTTTCTTAAGCAGTCTGGCACTCCACCAAAGAGCTGGGGGCGGGGGGGACCACAAAAAACAAAACAGCACATTTAAAACAGTGATTTCTAGGAATCTACAAAAATCTGAGCTAGGTACCAGTTTAAATTTTCTTTAAACCTGAAATGTAATAATGGTTTTATTACTATTCTAAACATACTAATTAGGGTTAAAATTTATCAAGGCACTTTTAAAATATCCACATAATAAATGAACTATTTTGTAATATTTTTAGTTTGATGCATGGTTTATGTTTCAAGAAATGAATCTTATATCCCTTACTACTATGATAATCGGCTGTCCCAGTTTACCCAGGACTTTCCAGATTTAGCATCGAAAGACTGGTTTCCTGAGTTTAGAGGTTTTTGTCTGTTTGCATTCTGAGATGATGTTCTCACTATGTTGCCCAGGATGGTCCCTAATTCACTGGCCCAAGTGATTGTCCCACCTCAGATGTACGGTAGCCTAGCTTAATCTAGGTTTACAACAATGTCCTCTGTGGGGTGTGGTGGTACACCTCTGTAATCCCAGCACTCCGAGAAGCTGAGGCAGGAGGATCACAAGATCAAGCCCAGGTGCCGGGGATATAGGTCAGTGGCACAGCGCCTGCCTGGCAAGCTCAAGGCTCTGAGTTTGATTCCCAGCATCAAAAAAAAAAAAAAAAAAAAAAAAAAAGATCAAGCCCAGCCAGGCAATTAAGTGGTTTAGATAGGCCCTAACTTAAAAGAAAAGCTTAATGGGATTATAGTTTAGTTCAAAAGCTCTTGGTTCAATCCCTAGTACTGCCACTGCCCCGACTAAAAAGTCCTGTGCCCCAGGAACCTTTGGTCCTGGACAAATTTGAATAGTTGGTCACCCTACTTAATAGTGACTCTTCAAAAGTACTAATACTTAAGCATTTTCTCCAATATGCTACCAAACAAAGTAGCTCCTACTACAAAGAGAACAAAATCAATCGGTGTCAATGACACTAACATTCCTGAGACAGCTATCCCCTGGAGGGTCTGCCTTCTTCCTATGCCTACATTCAGGCCAGGTCTGACTTTATGGAAAGATAGGTATAGAATAAATAGGGCTCTGTGCTCACATCTAAGACAAAATCTCTTAGATTGGGAAGATAGTAAAGTACTATGGAAAGTCCCAAAACTGTGAGGTCTGAAAGACTTGGTTTCAAATCCTAGCTCCCAAACTCAGAAGCTATGTGATGTACAAACTAGCCACTTTGAGCCTTACCGCTGCTGCTGTCAACATAAACCTAGTAACAGAGCTGCTAAACAAAAAAGTAAGTAACATTGGCAGTATGGCCTGGAATAGACCATCAGTGATACAGTCCTACTTTCTTACATTTATGAGGGACACAACAAAACTCCCAGGAATACATAATTGAGTTTTGATTTGGTGACACAGATAGGTGACCTCGAACTTGTCCTCACTTCCACTGCTCAACAGGGGGCCCTGGTAAAAATTTCAACTTTGCATTGAAACCAGGAGACTTACTTCCATCAGATCAGCCTTATCTAGGGGAATGGAAGTGCCACAGAAACACAAAGAATACTTTTACACGCTTATCAATAAATGCCGATGTCCAGGATGTGAGGCCGTAAATGAAACCACCACAAGGAAGAGAGAGCCCGCCGATGCACTTCTTTTAGACAGGTCTCTTTTCTCTCAGGGACACAATCCTATCTGCTGACTACCCTGGTTTGGAATATCCAAGGCCGGCTAACCTTCCTTCCTGCTGGGAAACACACTAACCTTCTTTCCTGTTCAGAAACACTCCACTTCTTTCTCTTTCCAGTACTGTGAATGTATGAAACATGACTACTTTGAATTATTCCCAGAGGGCTCCAGTTGAGAATGCTCCTTATTTTTCAAGGTCTCCACAGTTCATCTCACATCACGAGATTTCAAACATTATGAAAGGGACATGTAAAACATTGTGGGCATTCAACGCTACAAACTCTTGCTAATGATTTTTAGACGTCAGTTCTCAAGTCTACAAGGTTAAGGGTTAGCCATCAGAGGCTGAGGAAACTCCAAAAACGAAACTAAAGGGAGAGAAGAATGACCTTCTAAAATCCTCCACAGGCACTAGTCAGCATGTTTTGTCACGGATCCTTTCCCAAACAGGTGCGATTCTTTGCTCAAAGGAAAGAGAAGGTGCCACATAAGGGCACTGCCCAAGGGTTTTAAGTCACAGAGCCAAGACGGGAACAGAAGGCTCCTGTCAGTTCTGTCCTTTCTCTGGAGGCCCACATTTGCATCTACGCTCAGGATTCAGGGCTACAGCCTTAAAAACCAGTAGCAAGACTGAAGTCAAAAAGGATGATTTTTCACTTGAACTTTGTTAACACAGATTTAAGAGTTCTTAAAGAAAAAAGATGAACAGACAGTTTGAGATATACATACATAGATATACACTATATTACTTAGCTTCACTGTGGCGATCATTTTATGGTGTATATCAAAAGTAAAGTTGTGTACCTTAAATGTAAAAAACCAATGTGAAAAAACTTTTTCAAAACATTTTGAATTTTTTTAGAAGTGTGCACAAACTTTGTTTTGCTTTATAAAGAAAATATAAACCTATTTAACGAAGTAGATACAGCAACCTAAAATTTTTTCTTTATGTTTTAAGAAAATGGACGGTCAACCTAATAATCATGAGATCCTATTACAATCACAGTGATTCCACATGCTCCAGTACAAAACAACAACGAAGAAATGTAGAGTTTAAATTCTGGAACTTATATATACGGCACGGATACTTTGTACATGTTAAGTCGTGAGGCAAAGTTAAACACGTCCTTTTCAGAACGTTTCTTCAGAAGTGGGATCACCTGGGAGCCTAGCAGCGTGTGCGCCTGTTTCACGGCAGGAAGTGACGTGTGGGGCAAATTCCAAGGCATGGCCCTCAGCCTCATCCAAGCCAGCTCTAGGGTTCAAGCAGAACTCCTCACTCTGCCGAGTAACGGCCACTCACAGAACGCAGACGAGACAGCGAAGGGCTCGCGAACGTGCTCTTACACACGGGCGGCCAATTCGGTCTACGTTAAAAACCCGATTCACACAGTCTACTACTAAAGCAACATGCTTTGTAAACTGGAGTCCACAAACAGGCTTTAGGAAACCCAACTGACACCCCTTCAAACTATATGGAAAATGTTATGTGCGCATTTTTTTTCTGGGAAGTAGCTCTCCAGTTTTCATTACATTCCTATTGATGAGCGAATCATCATTACGCCACTTGGATCAATCGCCGTTCTTTCTAGGCGGGGGAATATAAAACCAGCCAGAACTGCCAGAATAGTGTCCACCTTCCAATTACAGCTAGAGTCCTTGCCCATTTTCATCATTCTATAAATGGATATAACACATTTACATATATATAAAACATACATAAATCATATGCATACATTTTTAACAAACTATATGAATACCCCCAACCTGATCATTCCAAGGAAGCTTCAGGTTTCTGCCACTTCGCAATGGCACATACAATTTTCTAATTCTCAGAAAGAAGAGCGATGACATAGTAACAGCAATTGCACATTTGTGAAAAGTGCCAATGTAAAAAGAGGGAAGCGCGCACGCGCGCGCACACACACACACACTGGGAGAAACTCGGACTCACTTTTTGCTGATAAATTCACCTATGAAACAAGTTATTTCAATACCTACAGCATACACACCTCGAAAGCCCTGCCCCTTTAGTTTACCAAAATCTCTCTAAGTGGTCTCTTCAGGCAATGCAAGGGGGAAATCCAATGAAACACATTCAATTTTACATTTGTTCTTTGTATTGTATATGTGTGCCCTTCATTCACACCAGGCTCCTGCTCCTCTCGTCATTAACGTGTCCAAAACAGGCCAAAGCACCCAAACACCCAGATACCCCGCGATTATCTGTATTACAATACTTGGTCACGCACAGCCCTTGCACCTGCAGATTCCTTCCTTTCTATCCACTCCACCTGCTCACGCCGTTGCACCCTTTACTGAAAGTCGGTGGAAGGAGCCCCCGGGTCTTATTTGCAGGGAGCAGACTCAACACATGGCGCTAAGGGCGTCTACCTCTTCCCCTCAGCTAGCCTCTCCTAGGGTCGGGCGCGTCTCCCGCCTGTCCCGCAGCACGCACGTATTCTTCGTTCCTTAAGCTGCACCGCGGCGCCGTGACGG